GCAATGTCACAGAAAAGACTTTTAGCGTTGAATCTATTTCTTCATCTTTCTTTGAAATTGTTTGGTGTTGGTACTTAATGATTTTGTAAAAATAAAAATTTCATAATGTCAAGTGTTTTGTTTTTCATTTTATATAATCTGTCTTCTTGCGCGGGCAGAGGGCCTCGCAAAATGTATCTTGCCCACATAAAATTTAGGTCTTGCGCCGCCACTGCTCACAGAATACCAGCGTGAACAGAATAATGCTGCTGTGTTTCGTATGATGAGTGTAGAGAGCCAGAGACCATATTTATGGTAACGAGGCATTCAATCTCAGTCCTCAGGGATGACAACGCACCTGTATTTTGATTCTTAATCGATGAAGGATAGGTGGGATATGTGTTTGTCACAATTATTCTATAAAAGGAAATCTGTTTCATGTTAGCTCTACACAAACTCTTCATAATATATTCCTAGACATCTTGTTGGTGAATCAATGGTAAATGAAATTAAGAAAATGCTGTAGTGGTAGAAAATTATATGCCAACGATAAAATCTAGGAAGGAATTTGGTAATTCGAGAAATATTAAAAGACAATGAACAAAAATATACTTCATTTTTGTGTAGTATAGGTAAAAGTAAGCAGTACAATATATACAGTACAGCCTATATACGTCACGCTGGGCACATTTTTTTCGGATTTGGGCAAGTGTCCGCGATGCAATCGTTCGTTATTCGATCAACAATACCAACTAGATAACGGGTCACGGACAAAATCATAGCTAAATACTGTCCGCATGAATATAAACTATGAAAAGACATAGATTAAATAACATTTAGTGTGAAATCAACCTTAAGAAATAACAAATAAAGTTCTTTATTGCCTTGCGAGCTACACTCTCACGTGCAAGAGCTCACGTCTCATGTGCGCTCTTATTTACTGAGATGGATTTCATGCGCCGACCCGACATCTAGTTGGTATTGTTGATCGAAGGCGTTAGCGAACTTCACATGTCTTCAAAATATTTTTTTATTATTTCTCAGACATACAGATTTCCTCACGATATTTTTTCCTCACCGTTGAGCACGTGGTAAATCAGCACTTAAAATTGCAATTAACAATTTTATTGGTGACGGCGGGAATCGAACCCGGGTTGCTCGCGTACTGTGAAATTTACAGGGAGCGCTTAACCCTTGAGCTATCACGGCTCAGCAGTATAGATGCTTTATCTCTGGTGTCCTAAAACATAATTATGTTTATTCGTTTCACAAAAGTGGTTGGAATTACCAGATAGAAAATATTTTAGAGGATTATAGTGCATGAGTGAATGCTCAAGCACAGATGCACAGATGCTACGTTCATCAACCTGCCTGCCTAATTTTTTGTTATAGAAGATTTGGCATACAAACATAGGGCTCGATAACAACATTTACACCGGGTTCATCATCATCATCATTACAGTCTTTCACAAGTCCACTGCTGAACATATGCCTCCCCAAGTAATGCCACAAATCACAGTCCTGAACCACCTGCATGCATCGACTTACTGCATGTCTTAACAGGCCGTCACTCCATCTAGTGGGGGTCACCCTACACTACGCCTACCAGTACGAGGCTGCCACTGGAGAACCTTTTTTCCTAATCGGTTGTCGGTTCTTCGAGCTATATGGCCGGCCCATTGCTACTTCAGCTTACTAATCCATTGGGCTATGTTGGTCACATGGGGTTATAGGATTGTTTTTATTCCTAGAAATATATCAAGGTAGGTAATACAAATAGCAGTGTGTACAGATATGTTCCGGACTATAGAGCAAAGTAAACCATTATAACGCTGTGAGGCATTAAATGTTAGTCCTAAGAGGTGACAACGCATTTGTAGCCTTATCCCTTTGAAGTTGTCTGTAGGTGTCCTTGGAGTGCAATAGCCACTTACCATCATGTGGACTGTACGCTCGTTTATCACAATTTTATTTAAAAAAATCGATGGTAAGTGCCCAACGCCGCCCAAGAAAATTTACAGCATAGCAGCGATTGTAGGTTATAGATAAATATTCCAAATAGCGCTTTCCAGCTAACTTTTTATTAGAACTCTTTGTGAAGTGTACTCAAAAATGTATTGATTTATTAAGTGTAAAATATCTTGGTTGGTGACGGACAGCACCATCAAAATGTCAAATAAGGAAGGCTACAAATGCGTTGTCATCTCTCAGGAACAAGATGGAATGCCTTAGAGCCGGCAATTATATATACATATATATATATATATATATAAGTATACCTCGCCAAGGGGGTGAGCTGCTCCCCTTCGTCAAGATATTGTAGATCTGATAAGTACGACGTGAGTATACGAGCCTGTTAATACTCTCCATTATTTAATCTTAGTGGACTTTTTATGGCAGAGGAGGCGAACGAGCATGCGGCTGCATCTGATCATAGGTGATCACCGTTGCGCACACATCCACAACAACACTCTAGGTGAGAAGAAAGTGGTACCTACCCCGATGGACCACTGTCCAGAACAGGAGTCCTACATTCTTGTGTATATTAGTTCTGTGAACACAAATTCACCTTCCAAACTCAGCGAATTTCGAAATTGTAGGCCCGGTTTAGATTTTGAGAAGTGCAAGTGCGAGTGGCAAGTGCAACTGACAAATGACAAGTGCTTAGTGCGTATTATGTTCCAACTTATCACTGGTCACTACCTGTTCACACGTACTAAGCACTTGTGGTTTGTCAATTGCACTTGCCACTCGCACTTGTCGCTTCACTAAATGTAAACCGAGTCTAAGGAAGAGTGAAGCAAAGTGGAGTGGTTCGAGTGGTGGCAGTGTGTGAGAATCTATTACCCGCTTTCGTCACGGTAATATTATCTATACAGTATTGTAACTCGGCCGTATCTTTGATATAAATGCCTACAGCCGCGCGGTACGTATACATGCAATAGGGCTGCTTGGCTGCCTGCCTCCAGCATTACATTTGGCTACTTTGTGTTTCCATTTAGTTATGTGATTGTAAATATACTTTTTTATATAAAGAAATAAAATAGGTACTTTGAAAATCATAGGAAGTGTTCAATAAAAATGCGTGTCGTTTTTTGATTGGCAAATTTAATTAAAAAACCATGTTTATGTTTGAATAACAAAACGGTCTTATAAATTTGCGACCGAAAAATATTTGCGCCTCGGCTGAGACTTACGAAATGCTTTATTATTACATTTTTAACTATAAAAAATCCGCATTCTAATATAAAGCTTAATTAAAAATTGTTTTGGGAAATATGGACAAGGTGGAGAAAAGGAATATTTTTTACTTTGTTATAGATACCTGCAGCTACTTTACAATTTATATGTTTAGTTTTAAATTAATTAAATTATTACTTTATTTCTATTCTATTATTTATTTCCTCCATTTTTTATATATTTCACAAAATCATCACTGCGGCACAGTCTCGACTGTCTGCATGCCGAGCGCATGCCGAGATCGAGGCGCGTAGGTATAGCTCTCGCTTCGTCCGTTTGTATGAAGTTGGAATACTGTATAGATAATATTACCGTGCTTTCGTCCTGTGGGTACGTAAACGATTTTGGTTAACGCCACAAATAAATCATGGCTTTCGAAAAATGACAGTATATTCATCTCATTTACGCCAGACGTAAAATGCTATAATTATTTCACTGTGACGGGAAGCATCTTCATAGGTGCGAGACGTGTTGTACTGAGATCACTAATCCTCCTGATATGTTTAGCAATCATTTCAAATCCTCCTAACAATGGGAGACATCCATGTCAAATAGTAGACTTTTATGGTCTGACTAAGAAGAAGAAAGAGAAGACGGGGGAGGATCCTTTTCAGCAGTAGTCTACAGGCTGACAAGATAAGGATTTTTTTATAGAATAGGGTGACAAACGAGCATACGGTCCACCTGATGATAAGTGTTTGCTGTGACCCATAGACTCTACATCTAACTTCGATTACGAATCAAAATGCAGATGAGTTGTCACCCGTGAGGACTAAGATGGAATGCCTCGTTTCGAGGAAAAAGGGTCTCCGGTTCTCTACACTAACCATACGAAACATAGCAGCATTAGGCTACTATTTTACGCTGGTATTCTGTGAAAGCGTGGTCCTTCCTCGGTCGACCCGACCCATTCGTGCTACAACTATACTGCTAATATAACTGCAGCATGGCTCTACCACGTATAAGGACTATAAATTAATTAGAATTTGCTCAAGAGGTCTCCGAGCAAATAACGATGTCAATATTATCTACCGCATATTTTATTTCCCTCGACATTATCCCGTTACAGGTTAACGCACTTTTCGTTTTACGATAGCATTTCTCTGTTTCTACTGAATTCAGCTGCGGGCTCGCAAATAAATCAACGATATTTACAAAATGTTACAAATGCTTTTAGACATGCGCCGAATTACATATTCCAATGAACTAAGTTACTGTTTTGCGTATTCAATCAGCGTATATCTAAGTTTTTATTGCCAAATTATCTAAGGTACTTCAGGAGTTGAAGGCCGTAGTAAAAAACGCCTAGGTCCTTTAACTTAAGGTTAACGAACATTTGACTGAAATAAAAATGAATGTTTGTGGTTAAAGGTGCAGCCAGTCGATTACTCAGCCCACAGTCATGCAGGCTGCGCGTACTGCCATCTCGCGGTAATTCGCCACAGGTAGTCACAACAACAGCTGAGTCGCTCGGCGACCGTTGCGTTGCGTTGCCTCGTTTTATCGTTAGGGCGATAAATAATAATTACAAAAGCGTGCTTCTGTTATCTGTACCCGTTCATTTCAGTTCCAGATTCGAGTAAAACGCGGGAAGGATATTTGACATTTTTTTTGTCATAGTTTGTGTCAAATTTTGTGATTATATTGTGTTATTTTTAATAAATCGTGTGTATTATTTTCATTATAAATATATTCCCGACTGTTTACAAACAAATTAACTGTATTTAACATTTGTGAAAGCCTCGCGTCTTCCATTTGTAGTGTCTAAATTTGTGTTAAAAATGGAGAAGGGTGGAGGATCCAGACTTCTTCAGATGCAGGTAAAATGTTGTAAATATTAATAAACTTTTCTTAAGATACAATATGTACATCAACACTAGTTGTTTTTTCCGCTATGACTAATCCATACGTCTCACGATTCAAAATAATTCATTATTTTATATTATTATTAGAGGCACGTCTCTAGCTTTATTCTGAAAAATCGTTTTATCCTAAATTAACAGAATTTTGAAGTTTTTCATCGATTGTTGCAAAATATTTGGTAATCAATATTTTTATTGATCTTTCTAAAGTTTGTTTAAATTTGAATCAAGAAGATTGTTGGATTAAAATGTTTATAAATTTATCGATAGGTCCTTGCCTAGTATTATTGTGCCCCCTCATCCATTCTTAGTTTTAGCCTTATTTATTAGGAGAAGTTATTTACTATGTGAAAATTGTTTTATTCTTTTTGGTTCTATGAGATTTTCTGTTACTATGTATTTATTAAATTTAATTTTGATGTCATATTCTATAGGATAACTAAATTAATAATAATTTATCGTAGGTCACTAAGGCTTTTTTTAAATAATTTTTTATATTTAATTTAAAATTATAATTTTTAAATAAAATTTAAATTGCAAGTAAATTTGTGTTATTAAACATTCGTATATTTTTGTGCAAAAACATTTCCTAAAGTTGGGTGAACATTTTCCTCCATTTTCATCCTGGCTTTAAACATTACGGTTGGTGTGTTATACCCTGGGACTTAAGGTCCTCCAGGATCTCCTCGTTGACTAGTTCAAAAAGAACTCCGCGGACCACTGCTGAACATAATTATTGCCTATGGATTGTGTTTCATAGGGAGTATTTTGTCATAGTTGCCACGCTTGGCAGGTTTTATTATTTTGACTTGTGTTATTATAAGATAAAACCGGCCATCTCCTGTTCATTTCCCTTTATCCGCTCTTGCTACCTACACAAGATGATATGAAGTATATGTGACCTACGAAATGTTTGTCTTTAGGTCTAAATGTGTTGTGTTTGTCCTTATCCTTAACATATCGTCAAAGGCTTCTACCTCTTCGTTAGTCTTTTATAATTCATTTACGAGCACCCCAGCTGGTATGAATTTTTTTAAGGGTTTTACTAAAAAATAGGTACCAATAATGAAATTTATACTTCACATTTCTAGACCGACTATTAACATTCACCTTATTTTTAAATTAATAAAAATAATGAAATAAACAAATATATTTTTTTTTTTGGTTTTCTTAATTCTTTATTATTTATAATATATTTATAAATATTTTAATAATTTAATAGCTCTAACGATCGTCGAAATTTAGGTACACCGATTCGCAAAATCAAAACATTATTATATCCAAGTTACTCTGGGCACTTTTTTAAAGCGGTTTTTTGGTCACCACACATGGTTCAACAGATTCCAACTGATCAGTTCAAACTAAAACTAGAATGATCAGTTGAACCGACCATCTGTGGCGACCATTACAGTTTCATTTATAATAATTACAACAAAAAAAAATAATATAATGCAATGTAAAAGGTTAATAAAATTTTTTAAAATGTCAGTTTTTACTTTATTAATAATGTGAAAATATCGCGTAATTGCACGTAGCACTAAATGACACCCTTTCAAATTATTAAATTGTCTGGGAAAATTGATCGTCCTCCTTTCTCTCAATATTTGGTTTATAAGATTTTCCTCACAATTCTTTTGGTGATAAACGAGCATTTTAATCCTTATTCCAGTTTCTAAATGAATCAATCATACATTTTACCTAGAAGCAGGATACTAATTTAATCACATTCGTATGTCGCAAATCATTTTAGAAAATAGTCAGCTATTGCAGACAAACAGATGGACACCAAAATGAATATATTTAAGTTCTTAAATATAATTACGTTTTGCTCTATTTAACATCCAAAATTACGACTTTTCTTTTGACTCTCTTGGATCGTAGACTGTTTGAAATTTCTTAAAAAATAATAATAAAGCTTTTTATTTGTCTCAGTTCATACATGTTATTAAAAGTATACAATAAAATCATCACAAACTTAACTTAGAAACTTACCTAAGTAACATAAAAGTAATGAGACAAACTGGCATTTGATTCAGCTGTGTGGTGATTTTAGGTCACCGCTGGTATTCTGCCACAGCCGACTTTTTTAAAAAAACACAATATCTTAACCTAATTTTGGCATTGACGTGAAACAAATAAAGAATAGATTAAAATATTTTTTTATATGTGCTATGTAAATTTCGGTAAAGAAGACAATCGTTTTTGGGCCCACTGGAAATTTCTACGACGCAAAAAAATACCAATTTATTACTATAAATAAGTAGCCTAAAGATTTTTTGAAAATCTAAACGGAATCGAGAAATCGCAATTCAAGGAATTCGTGTAGACTTCTACAGTCGCTTAGACTTCTTTTGTACCTCTTAGGCTTCATTCTGTATATTGTGCATAATTTGGTAGTTATTGAAAGATATTTAGTACAAGCATAAGGCCTTAAATAGCCATACTAACTCAGAGGTTAATTGCTTGCCGAAATTTTCAGAGAACTCGAACAACCCGGTAGCAGTAACTGTCGCCGAAAATTAAATAGTTAATTTTGCAAGTACAAATTTTAAGTGTTCAGCGTTAAAGAAAAAAAATATGAGGAAACCTGCATGTCTGAGAAACAAAACATTTTGAAAACATGTGGAAGCGCCCTAACTCGGTGTAGCAGCGCGGCGGACTATTTACTCCATAACACTCAGAAATGATAAGAGGCCAGTGCCCAGCAGTGGGACGTTAAAGACCCAACTTTACCTTTACACTTACTATGGCCTACTACACAACATTCCGTTATCGATACCGTTACAGTATATATATTATAGTCCACCGCTGAACGTGGGCTTCTCCTATAGGTTGCCTCATAGGGTGTTTGCCATAGTTGCCACGCTTGGCAAGCGGGTTGGCAACCGCAGTTTTTTTTTAATTTTTAGTTGTTATTAGAAATACGCTGCTGCCATCTCTTGATTAGTTTACCTCTGTCACCTCTTTTGAATACCACCCGTTTTGAATCGACTACTACCAGAGATTTTTCCGGACCGATACCAATTGGGGACCTTCAAGAAAAAAGCCTACACCTTTTTAAAAGGCCGCCAACGCATCTGCAATTCCCCCTGGTGTTGCAGTTGTTCATGAGCGGTAGTAACTTACCATCAGGTGAGCCGTATACTCATTTGCCCCCTCTCCTATAAAAAAAAACCTCTTACGACACCCACGGGATGATATGTCGGTTACTCGTAAGTAATAACATCTCATTTCTACTGTGATAAGATCACAAAACGTCAACATTTACCCTACTATCCTTATAACCTTGTAACAAGAAATATTTATGTACTGTAAACGAACTCTTCCTCAGGATATTCTTTAAATAATGGTGAAAACTGCATCAACATTTATGAAGTAACTTTAAAATATTTCAACTAAAACAGATAATAAAGACGCGGCAAAGCGACTTTTCTTTATATACTATTATAATATTACAACGTCATGCAAAACATTCAGGCCTGTAAAATGGTGGCCATTTTGCTATTTTGCCGAGCCCTCCCTCATTAAAATCATCCGTCTGTCTAGACTAGCGGAAACAGGGTGCGTTTTAATTTTTTTTATTTTGTTTAACGAACCAGCGAATATTTCCATAATGTCAGTTCCTGAAAAGCAGATTTTTTAACCAGTACTTTAAATTCAGACTTTCAGCCTGCAGAGTTACTGGTTATTTTAACTTAACATCAAACATTGTTGGCTACATCTGAAGCGATTCATTAAAATAGTATGTAAAACCTATGTTTTAGTCCTTTACATCGTAGAACCTTGCTGTGGCTATATTATGGTTGTAGCACGAGTGGGTCGACTTGATCGGCATAATACCATCGTGAAATAGCAGTTTAATGCTGCTTTGTTACGTATGGTGAGTGTAAAGAACCAGCTACCCTTTTTACTATAAATAGGCATTCAATTTTAGCCCTCAGGGGTAACAACGCATATCATTTTGATTCTTAATCGAGGATAGATGAAGTTGTATGGGTAAGTATGGGCCTCAGCATTTACTTACCCATCAGGTGGTCTGTGTGATCGTTTGTCCCTAATATTCTAAAAAAAGTGTACGGAGTATGGACCAGACACTTGACAGACATGTAACAGAACCTATCACCCCACGTTTCATATATCATCATCATAATTATCAGATTTTGTGTATTACTTTGGTTATTTGTATACAGTATTCATATAATTTAATGTGAATATTTTTACTGTGGTAAGGATGGCAAATGAGCACACAGTCCACCTCATGTAAGTAGATGCTGTGACACATAGACACTTACATCTTGATTAAAAATTATCAATTCAAGAATCAGAATGCAAATACGTTGTTACCTCTATATGCTAAGATAGTCTTTCACCTGTCGAGTTGATCCATGCGTGATGCAGTCATATGCAGCGGGACTCTATCACTTTTAATAATTAAGTACATAAACCACGCCATATTTTCTATCATTTTAAATACTGGTACGTGGTAGCTTTTTACATAAATAAATTACACATGAACTTTTTAAGGATAAGTATGTATTTAGTAAATATAAATGTATTATATGTATATCATATATCATCATCATCATTACAGCCCTTCACGAATCCACTGCTGAACATAGGCCTCCCCCAAGTAATGCCACAAAGCACGGTCCTGAGCCACCTGCATCCATCGACTTCCTGCATGTCTTACCAGGTCGTCACTCCATCTAGTGGGGGGTCGCCCTACACTACGCCTACCGGTACGAGGCTGCCACTCGAGAACCTTTCTAATATATAATATAGCCGTGTAGTGGCGGTTAAGAATATCCACTACCCCATATCTTCCCGTGGGTGTCGTAAGAGGCGACAGAGGGAGACAGGCAGGAGATGGGCAGCAGCGTCTTCCTGATGACAACTGTGACGTAATAAAAAACTGCGGTTGCCAACCCGCTCGCCAAGCGTGGCAACTATGGCAAATA